AATACTTTGGATTGCCTACCTCCCAAAGCTAAAACAATAAAAAAAAACAAGTGTTGATAAAAGGAACATACGTATGTCATCAGTAACTGACCTGCATAAGTATATGTGTAAACTGATCCAGAACTAGGCATCATTGCTCCTAATTCTGAAAATGATAAAGATGACAAGAAAACAATAACACCTGTTATAACAAATGAAATGATGACTGATGGACCAGAATATTTTGCAGCAGCTTGTCCACTTAATACAAATATCCCAGCACCTGAAAAAAAACCATTTAAAACTATTACTGCATATATTATTTTCAAACTAACTCACCAATAATAGCACCAAGACCTATAGCAAGTAATTGAATCCGACCTAGATCACGTCTCAATTCATTTCGTGTATCAATTTCAGCTTGTAATATTCCCATTGGTTTACGTGCAATCAGTCGTCTGATGAAAATTTGAATATAAGACAGTACTCGTTCACTAGTATGATGTTCTGATTGAATGCTTGAGTTATTCGCAGCAGATGTATCAGCAGACATAATTTGTTTTTTATAAATAATAATTTTCTTCTATCTTCGAAGAATATATCTCACATATATATATAATATTTATGTATAATAGATATGCTTCATAGAAAAATACTGCGATCGATAAATAAAACTTACATTGGAAAGAAAAAAGGAAGTAAACGTGACTCAATTAGTTGATAGAAAGTCAAATACATTGACTAGTCATCAGTAATTTTGTATATGTACCAAGTTTCGAATGAAACTTATTATAAGAAAAAGGCATCTTTGTCAATTGTCCTGTTTTTTTTTTCTCTTTTCCTTTCTTTAGTTCCAGTCCTATGTTATTGCGCATGCATTTTTCTCTTGAAAATATTGAGACGATACGACTTACTTATATATTTTTTTGATTTTACAATTAATAATCATGTTTCAGGATAGAAGTATGCACATAACGAAAAAAATATTGTGTCTACTCCATTTCATTACACGGACACGGTTTTCATGGAAAAAAACATCTCGATAATGTTTTATTTCGTTAATGAAAGTCAGTGAAGTGTAAATTATTAGATCATATCTCTCGTTTTCTTTTTTATGACAAGAATCCTTGTTTTTTCGAATGATTTTGTTTATTTCTAAATGTCAATTACTATTTTATCTGTAAAATAATCAATAATTATTTTTCTGATTAGAAAAATATATTCTTGATATTATACAATATCACAGCAAACAAACGATTAAATAGCATTTGCCAACCGTCAACAGAAATACGTTCACCCATGAAAGTTATTAAATCAAATATTATTGATGATATTAAAACAGAATATGAGACATTATCTATTAATTCTAGTAAAAATAAAATTGATATTAATCCGAGAACAATTATTTCAGTGAATGATCAATTATTATTAACAAATTTTAAAGAAAAATCTGTTAGTACGGTCCTATGAAGAACGAAAGTGTGAAACTCACGAACTGTAAATTTTTTAGATTTATAGTATATTGTCAGAGAAGTTAAAATGACTTATTTAAAAGAATGCCAAATGATTGAATAAATTAAAATTATAACAATTTTTATAGTTGATGGACACGCATTGAAATTTTATCATTTCGAAAATGTTTACATTTCAAATTGTTACACTGAAAAAACTTATTTGTATTGTCAGCCACATCTTCAATACATAATTGTCTTTCTCCTCATAATAATATATATGATACATGTTGTTGAAAGCAGTAAATATCATTGTATTCTTCGTTTCGTTCGTTCAACTACCATATTAGCCTGCTGTACGCATTGATTTAATCGTTTAGTCATTTTCTGAGCACACCATTATTTCTCTTAACGAACTTTGATATGTACTTTTGAGTTTTGTCTAAACTTAGAAATCAATTAGTTCATAGTCTTCTATGTCCGTCCTATTTTGACTCTGCTAGATCAATAATATTACCGCCTAACTGATTGACACCTATAATGACATCCTTTTAGTGCATTAAATGTCAAAACCCGCAATATTTAGATTAGTTAAAATATAAAGTAGAAATCTTAGATTAATAGAATGTCTTCGAAGATTCTAGAAAGTTCCAGAATGATCTAAGCACTGTTATTACTGCTAGGCCTTCTCTTGCTACTAGAAAAACGCAGCAAACGATCGTTGACCTCTCCCCGCTTGTTGCTATGGAAACATATTCAATAATTTTTGGCTTTTTTCATCCCACGATTGCTAGAGCCTGAGACAGATGGAGATGTAGAAACCAAAAAAAGCCTTCGATTTTAATCTCTGTTCATTATAGTGTCGAAGAAAATATATGTAAATTCCACAAAATATCTAATAGAGATTATTTAAAAACGTTAAATAAAGATATTGAAACAATTCTGGAAGAAAAAATTCATTTTATTCTACAAATGAATTATGTCTCGCTATCATCATTATTTACATTAAATTCACAATGAATATTTGATTTTATTCTTAAACATTTTCAAACTTTAATCAATCATATAAATTCTTCATAATTATTTGAAAAATTTTTAAATAAAAATAATTCAACAATGGCTTTTAACATCGCCAATTAAAAACACTTGTTAATGTAGATTCAAAAAAAAACAATAACAATTGACTGGTTCACAAAAACATCGACCGGCTGTTTGAAGCATTGTCTTTAATTAGACGGGCTTGTATCTGTTGTATTTCTGTTTCATATGCGTCGTTAAAATCAAATACACATTATTATATAGGTATGAAGAATATTTTTATCATTCTTCTAATGCATCATTATAAAGAAAGTAATCAAAGATCTACTTTATTTGCTTATGAGACTTGTATTAAAAAATCTCTGTAAATTAAGTGTTAATTGAGTAATGATATAATTGCTCTTGTACTCTTCTCTGAAACTTTTTAATTCTCATTGTTACAAAAAGATAAACAACAAAGATCTAAGTAATTATTTTTCGATGTAAAATATT